CAAAATGGGGACAGTCAGCTTGAGATACCATAACAGGACGTCATTAACCAGTTAGTGATGTCATGGTGTCCAGCTTTTATATACAGTGTATGTTTGGGGTTTACCCGGATTATCTCAGTTTGCTGTACCAGAAACACATGTGAGCATCAGACTGGATCATAGCTTCTACATCCACAGGTCCACTGAGGTCTGTGTGATGTAAAGTTCCTCACAGAGTTGAGACGTCTCAGAGATTTTACTTAGTTTAGTGACGACTCTGTGAGCGCGTCAGATTTCTGATAAGTAGACAGGAGCAGGACCAGCATGCAGAAGGGACGGTCTCAGTTTGTCCACCAAATATTGCAAATATCACTACAGGTGTGCTGTAGGGGTGAGACCCTGATGTGCATGCTGACTGTTTCCTCTGTAAATAATCAGCTGATAACAGCACTCACCAACAACAAGCTCAATCCTGAATGTTTTTCCTCTGCTTGGAAAGTCACAGGTGTAGATTCCTCTGTCCTCCAGTTGAACATAATTTATTTTTATGGAGGCGTTGCCGTGCTGCAGACCATCTCGAAAATGTGAGACTCGATCTGGGAGGGCAGGACTTTGATTCATCTCATTATCATGTATAAACACCTCCTTTTCAGTTCCATCCTTCGTCCACTCAAACCGCACAAACTCAATGCTCTCATTGGTGCCGAGGGAACAGGGTAAAATGGCATAATCACCTTCTTTCACAATCACATGTCCCCCTGAAAGACAAAACATGAATTAAACAGTGAGTTCACTCTTCAGTTTAGTTCCTCTTCACATTTTTCTGTGGTCCACGTCCCACTGCACAGTTTGAATGACAGGTTTAAATGGAGGGCGAAGAAGCTGAAGACTTTGATTATATTTCTAATATAAACTTGATAAATAGTATTTTGTGTTTTATAGTTATTTTGGCCTCTGTATTGGTTTCTGATTTCATTATTTGTGCCTTTAATCCTTGTTAGTTATTGAGGACATTCAGTTTATTACTTCCTCTTTGTATTTCCTTGCTCTGCACTCAGTCTTGTTTTGTGTCTTTTTTCCATGTTTGTCTTTCTGTGGACATTTCATATGTTTGAGTTCTTGTCTCTGTGTTAGTGATTTCCTGTTTTATTTCAGTGATCCTTGTTCAGTGTGTTTAGTGTTCAGTTTTACTTTCCTCAGTTTTATTTTCCCTGATGAGTTTCAGTTGTGTTGCCAGGTGTGTCTACTGTCTCTAATCACCTGCTGTGGGTTTACAGCCCTTGTCTGTCCTCAGCCTTTTTTACATCCAAAAACGCTGTGGGTAGTTTGTTTGTTGTAAGTTTGAGACCTGCTAATGAGTCTGGATTTGGGGTCCTAGCTCTTCCTGAAATACCACAAGGATCATTGTGAACTGTCAATCATGTTAAACTGTTCCAGTGCAGCTAGAAATGAGTATAATAGCTCATCTTTACTGTATTTATTACATTTATGTTTTCAGAAGTCAGTCAGTCTCTGAATTGGTCATGATCGACTCTGGGCTGGACCAATTACAGCGGAGGGGGTCAGATGCACCCTCCCCCTTTGCTTGGACAACGGCTCTGAAAGCAATCTTATCACAGTTACCTGCTTTAATCTGCACATTTGAGAGTTATACCAGAAAGCCAAGTACTACAGGAGCTACAGTATCCAGAGTCATACGCAGTAAGGAGGTAAAATTATTAAATAGATGTCGACTCCTTTTGGAGTAGCTGCTCTGAAGATGATAACAGTGGGTGGATTATATTCTTAATCTCAGTTACAGCACTTTCAGAAAGACATCTACTGTGATGAAGTCTACTCCCCACTGCTGTGTAATCAATTATTGTAAATTTAAATGTTATCATGAAATGATCAGACAGGAGAGGGTTTTCAGGAAACACTGTTGTTCAGTTTCTATGTCATATGTTAAAACGAGGACATATGTGTGGAATTACACAACATCAATAAAATAAAGTCACATGCAGCCAGTCAACGCGACAACAAGCAGCAGCTAAGTGCACCAAGAAGCCAGAACACAGTCGAAGGTCTCTGCTTAGCAAACCCTGCAGCAGCATTGCTCTGGTTTGGAGGCGGAACACAAAGGAAGAAGGCACTCATGTGATTGGTCACGCCACAGCCTCTGTGATTGACAGGCCCAGTTACTGCGTTAAACCAGGATACATGATGGCAGTAACATCAGTGCTGTAAGCCAGGAGGCGGGGGGAAACATCAGGGACACACACTCTGTTTTTACAGTTTGGAAAATGAAAGTTTGCCGAATCAACTGTCAACACTTATACTGGCGACTCTTACTGGATTACTTTAATGATGAAGAAATCTTAAAAACTGACAAATCGAAGGGCTTTTTGTGGGTTTTCAGGAAGCAGCACACAAACCGCTGACA